AAAAAAAAAAAAAAAAAGACTAAAAATCTTTCCTCCCCTTCCCACTTTGATTTTTTTCCCAGGTAAAATGATGGCAGATGTCCTCAGCTCAGTTCCACAGAACATATTGCTTACTGGAATAACCAATTTAGCTCTCTGCCCTTTTACTGTAAACTTGGGTTTGTTTTTTTATGCATTTGTGATTTCCTTTAAACCGTTTATAAATGGGTTGGAAATACCGTTTCATGGCTCTATTAATAATCAGAGCTCTTTACATGGGATTTTAGGAACCTTTCTGTCTAGTAGGAACAACTGTATGGTAAACAAACATCTCCAAACTCTTCCTGCTGCTCAAATATTCACTGCATTGTTTCGTTATTCCTTGGAGCATTCTGCCTTTAGTCAAAATGTTATAGTCAGGGATTGAAGTGCTAATTGTCATTTCCAGGAAGATTTTCTTCTTTTTATTCCTTTAGGGTCCAAAAAGAAGTGGTTTTTGCGACAGCATTCACGTTGCATAAAAAAAAATATCAAATGTCACTGGGCAGTTGTGAGAGCTGGGGTTTTGATGCCAGAGCCAGAAGGCTGGTTTGCCAAGACAGGGATTCACTGTCCTGGACCTGATGGGACCTCCAGAGGTCCCTTTGTACCTAAATTATTCCCTGATTCTGGAAGGTTCCTCTCCTTCGCCCCCCACCGTGTCCCCCGTGCTGCTCTGGCACTCGGACTCCTGGAAATGAGGAATTGTGGAGGTTCAGCGTGCTCAGTGAAGGGCTGGGAAAAGACAAAACTGTCCTGTGTGATGGGAAGTGCTGCTGGAAGAGAGGAGAGGTGTGGGATGGCCCTGGGGGCAGCCTGGAGCTGTGGGAGCAGCTCAGCTCTGCTCCTGCGCTGCCTCAGCTGGCCTTGTCTGTGCCAGGCTGAGTGGTGGGTGCCTGAATTTTACAGTCAGAGGGGAGAAAGCACTCAAAGCATGTTCATTGCTGCTCAGCAGTGATAACCTGTTCATGAACTGTCCTGGCTTTTTTGCTTTCACCTGTTTAAACAAATGACATTTATTATTAAGGAAAATACTCAGCCAAAATAACACCAAACTCGTATTGTTTTAGGGCATAAACCCCCCACTTCAATCGCAGGGGCCTGTCAGTGAATTTCTGACACCGAGTTATGTTGTTTAATGAGTGCTATTAGGTAGTTCTGTCACTTAATAGGATTGAGGGTTGGAAATGCCATGTAATATCATTTCACTGGGGAAAAAATCAACAAACAGCCCTCGTTGAAAGCCTCGGGTCCCCTTTGAAGTCGGCAGGACCTGCTGTCACCTCCGAGGAACCTGCAGGGCTGTTTTCAGGGGGCTGGAGCTCCCTTGGAGGGGAGGCAAGAGTTCCTCTTGGCAATTTGCAGTGGGTGCACTCAAAAAACGTGTCCCACCATCTGACTGGGAGTGCAGGAACAGAAATTGTGGCAAAAGGGTCTTTGCAGGCTCGTGTCCGTAATCACCCCTGGCTCAGGGAAACGTGGACTGTGCTCGTGGGAGAAGTGCTGACAGCCAGGATTGTTGTGGGCTGGCACTGGCACCTGGGTGTCACCTACACCCCTGGCTGGGCTCTGGGTTACCTGGTGCACCTTGGAATTAGGGAGAGCTGGTTCTATCCTGGCAACCTGTTGTCTGCAGAGTCCCTCTGGAGCAGCTCAGGCTGTGTGTTCATGGGAAGGAGGGTCAGCGTGTTGGGGGGGAGGGTGACAACAGCCAGGAGGAAGCAGGGATGGAGCCTGGGAGCAGAAGTTCTGTCAGATATTGGTTTGCAGGCTCACAGCAGGGCAGCTTCAACCCACCAGAGCTTTATCTCCTGGCGTTTTCCCCTGTAAGGAAAAAAGGCTTTTTCTCTGTGGAGAGGATTCCCCACCTCACTGGGAGAACAAACCCCAGCTGCAGGTGCTGGTGGAGGTGCAGAGGGAGGAAATATCCTGCACTGAGGGACTCTGTGAGAGCACTCTGGGA